AGCAGTGAGGACTATGTAGAGGCAATACTGGACATTTAATATATTTATGAAAAGGGGGTAACCGTCAACCATAAGTGTCTGTAGGACTCTTGTTGTACAGCAGTTTGAGCCATTTGAGGGTATTCCATTTGCAAGGTTTAGAATATAAGTCAAAAGCTGAATTTCTTTCTTGTTGTCTTATCTGGAGGAAGTTTCCATAACCGACAAGTTATGGGAGTTAAGATCATTTTCCACCTCAGCTCCATCGGTACAATCGGAGTGAGAATCATTTCGCTGGACACTGACCGAACTGAACCGTAGTGGGAGTCTTGTTTCCATCTCTGTTTTCTCTCAGTCCCATTCAGGCTCGTTCATCAATCTGACCTCTGGGTTAGAAGGCACTTGAGGGGGGAATAGCTGGATAAAGATCTGTTGTCTCTGCAGCGCTAATTGCATGGATCCTCTCACTTCGTGTTGCTGCTGAGCCACTCAGCTTCTATTTCCAACCCCCCCCCCCCTTCCAACACACACTGAAAAAAGCTCAAGGGGAGTCTTGTGTACGTTTTCCATCAGACACGTGCCAGTGGTTTGCGGAGGAGCTGTGCGGTTTAATCCTTAACTGATCAATCCTCTCGCACCTCTCCAAGCCACGCTGTCTGGAGCTGCATAAAAAAACAGAACTCTCAAAGATCAAAGGCCTGATTCCTGGGTGGGGGGGCTGCTGTGCCCTAGAGCATTAGCATCTCACCCCCACTACTTTTCCAATTGCTGCTTATTGTTCGGTGGGATAACATCTGCTCACTGTGTCAGATGTGTTCTTAGTTCAAAGGCAAGCCTCATCAGAGCCAATAGGAACGTCTGGCAACTGTTAGAACTGGCCTAACGCACCCGTTTCCAGGTCAGAGAAGGCCAATCAGGTTGCCCTGCGCCCGCTAAAAAACATCTGGCAGCTGCCTTCCCAGATGACAGAAGGGGAGCTGGCTCGGAGGCGGGCACTCTGAGAGAAAGCACAGAGAGGGCTAGCCAGACAGTTGAGCAACAACAACACGAGGCTTGCTCTCTTTTCTCCACCTGCGTCTTGGAGGAAAAGAGCTAGATAAATCAGCTGAGAGGCCCCTGGAATGGACAGCCTCTTGTCGTCACCAGCCAAGAACTCTCTTCTGATACCCTGGTCCTCCACGCTCACTGGGCTCCAGTCAGTAGAGCTGTGAAATCTGTGCCTGTAATCTCTCTACTCCAGTGCCTACAAACAGCAGCACAGCATCTACAGCCCTGCTCTCCAGTGCGGAGAGTGTGTGTATATTTCTCCTCATTTGGAACCGTTTAGACAAACACAATGCCGGAAATCAACTATCTGCTCTCCGTGTCCTGGAGCTACATCAAGGTGAGTTGTGAGGAGTCCATTCTTGCCTTCACACAGATTGGTAAATGGTAAAAGGACAGCAGTAGGATTAAAGACTTGATTCATGTTTGGGGAAAAAGTCTGACAAATTAAGTTTCACATGGTAAGCTTCATTAAGGATATGGTGACACGTATTTTTCAGGTAAAGAGAAAATGCAGTAGTTGTGGGAAACGTGAAAGCATAAGTATCGGAGACAAGACTGCAGCCAACATTGAATTGACTTGTTTCCAGTTGAATTAACTGTCAGAATGAAGTGTTTTGTTCATTTTGTCCATGACTACACGTCCTTCAAAAATAATACATTAACATTTCAGTGAATAAGGTATTAAAAAATGACTGACCGGGCATTTGAGGAGACATTCATTTAAACTTTGAGAGGCATTCATTCTGGGTTTGCCAGATTGAGTATGGAGTTCTGTATTCAGAAAAAGGTGCCAGTTATCCCAATATTGTTACATTTCCCCTTGTAAAGGCAGTTCAAATATTTTCTTCCTTAAAAATGTCTCTTTCAGTTATCACCTATTATGGACTGTAGGTCATAGTTTGACAAACAACAGCTTTCAGATCTCGTGGAGACGTATTTCTTGCAATACAAGTCAAACTGTCTGTTCAGAGTTGTGATTTTCAAACTTTTCTTGTGTTGCTCTTACAGCCCCACAAGGTGGCTAGGCTGTAATTCCATTCCTTCCTGCTGGAAATGTCTTGTGTGCTGGTTCTACTTATTGCTTTGTTTTTGTAAGGCTATTTTTTGGATATTTGAAGGGAGAAAAAAATCCTACGTAGAATAATATATGGTATAAACATGTATTACTTACGGGTGATATGGTGGCGCAGTGTTTAATATTGCTGCCTCGCAGGGCTGTGGCTCTGGGTTTAATTCCAGAGCTGGGGTGCTATCTGTGTGTGTGTATGTTGTCCTCATGTTTGTGTGGCTTTCCTCCAGGTGCTCAATGTTTCATCCCACAGTCCAAAAACATACAGGTGGGTTAAGTGGCTTCTGGGAAAATTGGCCCTGGAGTCTGTTTGTTTGTGTGTCTGCCCTGCAATGGATTGGCCCATCCTAGGTGTATCCTGCCTTTTGCCCGTTTCTTGCCAGGATAGGCCCTGTCTTCCCTGCGGCTCAGTATTGAATAAAGCGGTTTAGAAAATGGATAGATGGATATGTTACTCACCTAGGAGCCTTCCATCCATCAGTCCATTATCAGAAAGCTGCTTACTCCTCGTGAGGGTGGGAACAACCCGGAGTTTTCTGCTCTGGACCCTGGGCAGGACTGCCAGTCTATGCCAGCAAACGGGGATCAATTAGAGACACCAGTTAATCTGGCCCGCGTGTCTCTAGAATATGGGAGGAAACCAGACCATCTGGAGAAAACCCTCATGAATGGGGAGGAACTTGCGAACTCCACATAGAAGGTTTCCTAGCCCAGAATTAAACCTGGGATCCAAGAAATGTGAGGCAGCACCGCTAACAACTAAGCCACTGTCATCTGTACGCGTCTACTGAAAATCATCTTTTTCAAAATAATATCTCAATATACAATTAATTACTGGAAGCTTTTGATTTTATTCAGCAACTATTCTGTGTAACACAGTATCATATGTATTCAGGCCATTTTCGACTTTACAGTGGGGATGATATTAATTTTCAGTGAAGAGCTTGCTGTACATTGAGGAACATTCCCAGAGTTTCTATGGAAAAAAATGGAAAAAATACCCTTGGTGTTTATTTGAAGCTGCTCTCCAGGGTATTCAGGCTCCTGGAGCTGGACTTCACTGGCTCCTGCGCGGGAAGAGGTTGCCCGACATGTGCCCCTTGCTCGGGATCGTGGGAGTGACCTGCGTGATACACACACAGACATCCCATGTCAAACTACATGACCGTGATCAGGGATCAGCTTTTGGTTAAAGATATCTGCGATTACCTGCAGTGGTCTTGGTTTTAACTATTTAGATCATTTTAAAAGGACTGATTAATAAGCAAATTAGAAGGCCAGTTAATAGTTCAGTTAAGGAGTGAATAGCTGTTTGGAACAGAAGCCTGGAAAACAGAGGGTTGAACTTCAGTCACTCACTTCCATTCAGTTTACTGCACTTTTCTTGCTGCCCTCACTCTCCTGCCCATTGGGAATCACTCGCTTCTGACCCCTTGTCTCTCTGTCATATCCCTTGGCTCAGGGATACATACAATGTGTGGGAAACCAACATCCTCATGTCCTCATGCCCACTGCAAGCTGTCTGTGTCTTTTTTTTATACTGTAGGCGCCACAATCGCAACAGCAGAGCTATGGTCTTGCAGGGAGGGCAGACGCAGCTCTCATCAATAACACTGCAAAGCCTCAGACTTCCAGCAGGCTTTAAATGAGCGGACTTGGCCTGACCTGGAATCTAACCAGCACTGGTGGCTAGTGTGGGCTGAGTATTGAGGGACCCTGGTTCAGTGACACATTGTCACAGTGCCTTGTGACAGCAGGGGTCTAAGGCTGAGACGGCAGGCTTGTTTAGAATAAACGTGTAAAGGAGCACTGCGCAGAGCACTGGTGAAGCGGAGAATGTGCACAAAGGCCCCTCCACTGTCATTGCCTTGACCTACTTTCGGTTGCTGGCTAGACGCAGTATGACTGTGCAGGAGCAGCAAGGCTCTGACATGAGAGAGAGGAGAGGCCAACGAGATTCTTTTTCTGTGCTGTTTGTGTGGTTCTGCGGTATCAAGGCACGTGCCTTGACCGCTGTGGGAGTACGGCCTGTTTGGGAATAATGTACGACCGGGTGCAACAAAACCACCAGGTGGAGGAAAATTGTGTTTATCACAACCCCAGAGACAGAGAGGAAAGGAGCTGTACCATTTTAGATATGAGAAGCAACACTAATAAATAACATCACTACCAAGACTGTGTGGTTTGAACGTCTCAGTTTTCATGTTTCCCAGCATTTTGCGTACATGGTGCACAAAGGTTACCTTGAAATTAGATCCAAACCCCCACCATTCTTTGTGTAAAGAAGTGCTTCCTGGATTCAGTAAATGTTCTCTATTTCCACGTGGGTCCTCAGATCTTAGTTTCACTGTTTTTCCTGAGCCAGTCATCAGTAACCTTTGAAGATCTTAAATCCCTCCTATAAAGTCCCCTTAGTAGGCTGGTGGTCAATACTAAAGAGATGCCTTTGCTTTAAGTTGTCTCTGGAAAGTATTTTGAATAATACTTTGTATTTGTATCATTTTGTACACACATTTGGGTTGGTGTGTACAGTAGTTATGTAATCTGAAGTACAGTAAATCAGGGATCATGTACAGTAGCATATCTCTACCAAAGACGCCATAAAGTCAAAGGACTGGTATCTCTCTGGAGAAACTAGAACCAGCAAGCAGTGTTCTAGTTTAAAAGGCTCTCCGGGGTGCTATAAAGGCTAGTTAAAAAAGGAACCACCCAAGAAGAAAAGAGTGGTTCTGCTTCATATTTCAACCTCAAGATGCCTCTGATGATGTCTAATCTAAAAGACTTTGTAATCCTGCGTTGCGCTGTTAGTTCACACAGTTTTGCCACATGTTGGTAGGAGTGTTGTGATGTTGAATGGTATCGAGTCCTACAGCACTAATGATATGTTCTTCACTCTCTCCTCCAGTTCAAAAGGATGCTGAACCGCGAGCTAACACACCTGTCAGAGATGAGTCGGTCGGGGAACCAGGTGTCTGAATACATCTCTAGTACCTTTCTAGGTGAGTGTCACGAGGCTTCATAATCTTTGTTCCCCACAGGCTTCTGTGTTTTTACTTTGAGCAGATTTAAGGTGCAGCTGCTTTTTGTCCACAGCAAAAATCTCCATGCACAAGGTCTCTTAAGTCAATGGCAGCTTTTAGGGAAGTATATAATGCCATCTGTTGACCAGAAATGGAATTGCAAGTGTTTGATTAATGTCAATGAGTTCACCTTGTGTTTTTTGCATGCTATGTCTCCAGTCCTTAAGAACAAGAAAAGGCTTCAACTTAAGGGAAGTTATCCAGTTAAGCAATCTTGGATGACCTCAAATAGGTAATGAAGGACTCAGGTGGAAGGAAAATCGGAAACCTTCTGGCCCTCTGGGACTAGAGTTGTTCACCCCTGCGTTACAGAAACCCTTTTCTAGATGGAATCCCCTGCTCTATCCTTATAACCAGAATGGTGACTTCATACCAGCAGGACTGGTGATGCTAGCTAGGATGTTATACATCACCATAGCTGCATGACTCTTCACTCGTACTAAAGAGTGGGGGTGCTTGCTTCACCGGAGAATGTCTGCATTCCTCTTTAATTTAATGCACACAAAATTTGTCTTTTTAAATATTAATTTTGGTAAAATGTATTTCTTTTGTCCACTCTTAAGACAAAACTACAAATGAAATAGGCACATTGCCAGGGAGGTTCATGCAGAATCCTTCAACGTTAAGGCAACAGTGACCCTCCAGGCTAGTGAGAGTCTCATACAGCTCTATCTGACCGTGCGAGACCTTCACAGTGTCTAAACTAGGTTATGTAGGGAGATATGGGACAACTGTGAAGACCGTGGAAACCAGACTTTAAGCTGTTTCTTCTCTCTCTCTAATTGTCAGACTCTGCCAAAAGTAAAGTATTTAAACTTTTGGGGATGTCACCCCAGCATTCCTTTAGCTTCCTTATCTTAACACTAAGAAACATTTGTCCTCTGTCACCAGGCATGGCCTGGGTTAGAGTTATCATTTACATAACCCCTTCTGCAAACGTCATTCTGGTTACAATTTTGAGAGAGTGCCAGTAAAAAATAATGCAGCAACTGTTTTGTGTTTTTTTTGTGCTTTATGTAGCCTCTCTCCACTGGTCGTGCTTGACTGTTTATGGTAATCTAAATAGTAATGTCTTTGAATTAACAGTTGGAGTTAGGTCATTTTGAAAACTGCATTACTGACATCAAGTTACAGCATCCCTTCTGAATTAACTATATCAATTTGAAAACTATAAACTATATAAATTAACTACATCAATTAAAATAAGAAATGCAACCCATTTGCTTCTCTGTCAGGCCCTGCCCTACAGGGATCTTAAATCCTGGTGTGTTTCTTGCATTACTTATTGTGTTGCATCTCAGTGTTAAAGCCTCTCACTGTGACTCTGCAAGGCTTCATCATTAAGCATTTGTGCTAAACAAGAGTTAAGGCAAGGAATTCGTTTTCTATGTCAGTAAAGAATACCTTACTTCAGTTGCTGAACATTATGCCTTGTCGTTAAACCAGCTGGTCAGGTCTAGCTTGAACTTTAAAACTTATGACTGCAGTGCAGAATTTGCTCCACGTTGTCAAATTCTAGGCAAGCATCAACAAATTGTTCACTTGGACAATTAGGTCACGTGGACTCCCAGCTCCTTCAAGATTTTTCTTGACGTTTCAGAGAAAAACAGCAGCTGGCTGCTAAGGTGCCCCTGTAGAGATTCGGATCTGATCTGGAGAAAGGTGTAAACCCTTTTGTGTGCAGAGGGAGAGGGCTCTGATATAGATCGTGTGACTGACAGATGATAAATGTGAATCACAACCTGCAGTCTTTCCGGTCCAGACAGAATAGTCCCAGCCTGGTAGAGCATTTTTGACACATCCTCTCATTCTTTGTGGATGCTTGTCAAATTCGAGTCCTGGATGGATGAAGGCCTGTTGGTTTTTGTTTTAGCTGGAGCTCTTACAGTAATTACTTTCTTAATTAGGCTATTTTTAAGATAGCATAAGAGATACTATAGAGTCAAGACAACAGAATGTTTTGAACCTGTAAGGGAGATTCAGTTTACTCCAGTGAATTGGACTCATTAGTTGAATGACAACTGGGCTGAATGGCAGGGGGCCATGTTGCTGTTGAGGAATAGTTTGTGATGCTTCAGCTCCAAGAGCTCCGGTGAAAGAACAGGGAGTGCTGTTGGAAAGTGGTGGACCACCTTCAGCCCAGATATTCTCCCAGTGTACTGAGCTGAGGGAGTCTGGAACAAGCTCCCTAGCCAAGCTGTTCAAGCTGAATCCCTTCATAAAATAGCTGAATAATATCCTAGGATCAAATAGCTACTAGCTACCAAACGGGCTGGGTGGACAGAGTCTCCTCTCATTTGTATCCTTTATGTTTCCCTTTTCAATCGTATGTGGTAGCTGCATCATTGACCAGAAGCTGTCTGTATTGGGCAGGTTAAGCAATAAGAACATAGGAAAATTCTGCAAACAAGAGAGGGTGATTTGGTCCATCTTGCCGTTTGGTAGTTAAGTAACTAAGTGAATCTAAAATTTCATCCAGCTGTTTCTTGAAGAGTTTGGGCCTCAAACCTGGTTGGGAAGCTTTTACCAGAAGCCTATTCTTCAAAAAGCAGTGTGTTAGTACCGGTGCCAAATCCCTAAAGAATTGTGGCTCTCCAGGATCAGGACAGCTACACCACTGCTCCATGGCCCAGACGAAGACAGAATAACCCAGAAGGAAACAGTTTTCTATCGCCTGTATTTTTCTATAGCCTTTGCTATTGGCATGCTAGCTCACTCAACTCCATACAGTAGGACCAGTGTGAGTGCTGTTGTTTAGCCCAGGAAAAAGGCAGAAAGAAATAGTGGTGAAAAATGCCACTTAATTGAAATCCAGGCATAGGGAAATGAAGAAGGTGACAAGATAAACCGATTGACGTCAAACACAGATACCACAGGCCCTTATACAAATATGTATGGAAATAGGGCCCCTTCACGCCCTGTGCACAACTTTGTGCTGGGGGAAGTAATTTGGGCAGACTCACAGAGGAAGTACAAGCTAGAGGCGAGGGCCCGACTACCACATTTAGCACTGTTCTGCAAGTAACCTAGTGGCTAGCAATTGTTATCCAATTATTGCTTATGGCCCCCTCCAGAACCCAAAACGTTGGGGTTCATGGGTTTCATGACTACAGTCCTCTTTTTCAGCTGGAAAAGAAGCAAACCTACACAGTGTGGAAATCTGTCTGACACCCACAGCTATGTGCCAAGGGAAAGAGGACGCAGTGTGAGAAAGTTCCTCTGTGCTCACAGGTCCAGCATCTTTTCATAAGCAGTGTGTGTATCATAGCTCACTAGTCTGTGTGGGGTGCTTGGCAGGAAAGCAACTTTTTAATATTGGTCAATATTAGATGTCAAAAACAGATGCACATATTAAAAATGTCTAAAGAAAAGATATACATTAATTTAAACTAACTGCAAATTGATGTTTAGAAGAAACATATCTTGTTTCTTCTCATATCTTGAAACATATCTTGTTTCTTCTCTCTACATTTTGTATATTGGGCCCTCTGGGGACTCTCCTTTTCCTTGTTGGTACAGGAAAAGCACGGGTGCACCTGGATTGTGATAGAGTCCTAGAAAACAAAAACTTAGCCATGTACAAAGAACAAAACTTTGGAAAGGGTTACGGCAATATATCAAATCAACACTCAATGGGTAGCTGCTAGTGTTGGGACCTAAACCACAAAGATCATTTGAATGTCTGTTAGTAGTTTCCAGGTAAGTTGGTGTAGTAGGCTGTTGTGCAGATCATAAGTTACAGATGAAGAGAAAGGCAGTGCAGAAGGAATTCATGTGAAAGAACCAGGACCTTTTTCCAGACCGTGATCGGTAAGATCACTTTCAACTTCAGTCTGAAAGAGCTAGGCTTTTATAAATATATTTTTTTCTGCTTAAGTGCACGGTGATAGTAAAAAACTTTGCAGTATATGGTTTAAATGTGCACATCTTGCAATGTATTCGGAATAGAAGTTTATTTGCTTTTTCATGCAGAGACATTCCAGTCTATTTCCAGGCACATTTCAAACTGTGGCCTTCTGGGAGAATAATTTGACATACAAACTATACGGTTGTTGATTACCAACTCTTAGTGTGAAAGAAGGTAAATAGCAGAACATTTGCTATAAGTAGAAGAACAAGAATGGTTACCGCTAGACTTGATTGGCATTAATTTCAATATAGTGTTTCTCATTTTTATACATGATTTTATATATGATTTAAAGCTGGAAGAGTTTTACCATACCATCCAAGATGATTCATCCATCCTTTTCACCAGTTAATCATGTTATCTTCGTGAAAGAGAAATGTTATTTTTTAAAACACAGCACTGGGTAGCGTTGGGTAGCAGGAGCAATCTCCTAACAGGGCAGAAATGAAGATGCAGAAGCTCTTGTCAGGGGTGCTGCTTTTATGCTGCTATAAGAAGCATATGGATGAGATTCATGGCTGGGTTCCTTATAGAACTATTGAATGAACCAAATGGTCCGAGCCCTTTCCTATAGTTTGCAGCCTTTTTCATGCTCTCAAGCTCATACAGTGTAATTGCACTCTTACCTCCTGCAGTGAATCAGTTCACTGGGCTCTACTGTATGTCTTGTTGCAAGCTAGCTGTCAGAGGTTACTGCCCATGGTACTGGGCAATGGTGGTGGACCATAGTCTACCAAGTACATGGAATTTTACTGTGTTAGATTTCACCTGCACTTCTAGTGCTTGATTTAACATTCCTATGGACATTGAGGTTTTGAATATAGAGCCCTGTACGTACAGTATGTTGCACTAAATGCCAGGTTTATAGTTACTTATGAAATAATAATTAAATATAATAAGACTTGTTCCTTTTTGATGTTTTTTTAACTGTGCATAAAATACTGTAAAAATACTCCCTATGAACCTAAAGGGTTATTATGTTAATTAGTTTAGTTTGCTTAATTTCAAATGTGCCCTTCGCCTTTGAAATTGGAAAGAACAGTAATGTCATGATGCACTAAAACCTGCAACAGTAAATGTTTTTCAGGAAATAATGAAAACCCCCATCCAACTCTTTAAGCTGCAAGGAGAAATAGAGTGAGGCTGCTTTAATTCTAGGACGAATGCGCACATATGCACTAAGTAAGACGAAGTAAAATAACTAGACCTGAAGTGTTTTTGTGCTATGGTGTGCTGTTTGTGTAACAATATGAATGTGTTCATAGCGGAAGCCCCCGTTGGCCAGTCAAGTGAGCAGTGCTGACGACAGATTTCCTCTGCCCTCCCTAGACAAGCAGAACGAGGTGGAGATACCATCGCCCACGCAGAAGGAGCGGGAGAAGAAGAAGAAGCAGCCCATGTGCCAGATCAGCGGCGTGAAGAAGCTCATGCACAGCTCCAGCCTCACCAACTCCAGCATCCCGCGGTTTGGGGTCAAGACCGAGCAGGAGGACTCGCTGGCCAGGGTGGGTCAGACAGGGTCCGGGGTGAGGGTGTTGCCCCCGAAACACTTAAGGAAGGAGAAAACGTACAAAGCAACTGAGATTAGAACTGTGAACATAACACTGGAATGAAAGTTAAAATGTTCAGGAATGGAAACTCTGTTAGAGACTAACAGCAGTCAGGTTTTCCACGTAACAGTCCCAAAGGTTAGTGTGACCCGCTCTGAGTCATTTTGAAGTATTCTGACTATTTAATCCTTTGACCTGCCACCAGGTAAAGATCCCTTTTATTCTGATGCAGCTGGGCGCTCCGTTACATAAGGACCTTTGTGTATTAAAAATGTGTTGAACAGCAGTGTGCACATCTGCTGTGGCAGTGTCCTTGCGTCATTCCTGGCCCCGTTACTGAATTGGTTTCCTAGGTCGCTCTGTGGCTGAATATTGATATTCAGTAGGATAGATTATGGACAAACAATAAATGTAGTTCTTTAATCAGTTCCAGATGACCCATGAAAACTGACCTTCAGTATATTAGCAGCTTATCCCAGCATGCAATGCATTTATGCAAAAGTAACTCTTGTCCTGAAATGACTTCTTTGTTATTCAGAAAATCTGGAACCGCCACGCACTGCCTGTTTTTACACCACAATCTGCTACTGTTATTAATCTCCCTTTTATGAAGGAACAACAATAAGCAGTTTGTTCAAGCAGGATACAACTGTGTGGCAATCAAAAGTTATTTTTAAACTTACAAATGTGTGTTTTTGCATTCATACTACAAAAAGCAATGTATAAGATGTTAATATTTTATATTAACAATCTGAAACTTTAAAGGATGCCGTTAGCCATTTGGTTTAGATTTTATTTAGAACTGAACAGTTTCCTCCACTACACATTGACTCTGCGAAATCACTATTTCACAGAACTGTGTTGTATACAGTGAGATGATTGCTTTTAAAGGCATTGTATTTCACTGTACATTTCCCAAGCGCTATTTCATAGCACACTCGCCATATTAAGCACCTGTTCATGTTTTACGAGCTCCAGACTCTCGAATACAAGACGACACAAAGGGTTGGATATTTCATGCTTATGGCCTCAAATTGAACAAATTTGCTTAGACTGATACAGCTCAAACAGCAATATGCAGCCTGCAGTAAGAGATACTTTGACCTACAAGAATCTCAGTCCTATCCCCATCCAAAGTAAAAATGCATTTGGATTTGGAGAAATTCTGCATGATGCACATTGCAGCTTTATTATTCCAACTCCTTATGTTATGGGGGTTCTTTCTTCTTTCGCAGGAGCTGGATGACTTGAACAAGTGGGGCCTTAACATCTTCCGAGTGGCGGAGTTCTCTAACAACAGACCACTAAGCTGTATCATGTTTGCCATTTTCCAGGTAGGTTGTCTGTGTTCACTCTGAATCTCTTTCCTTCAGTTCACAGTTTCCAGTGTGGCTGATCCCCCTGATCTGGTCTTAATTTACACACTTAACTCTTAACTGTAGAATCTGCCTAGAGTAACTGGACAGTCCTTTCCCTTTTCCAAATATGTACAATGTTAAAACCTTTTTAATCCTATTTTCAACCAACGAGCCGCTGCATTTATCGTTAAAATTTTGGAAAATTATGCCATCTAGTGTAATTATTTTAAGTGAATCAAAATATATTCACTTTTGAAGCAATAAATAGTATCCTCTATGTGTGGCAACATCCTATCTTCACTAAGAACTGGTAGCACTAAGGAGCTCCAATGGAATAGATTGGAATGGCTGCAGTTTGCAAAGTCTTTGCTAACAAGAAATACATTGATGGCTGCCATGCAATTATTGCCAAGGCATTGCTGGAAAGATGCATTTCACAAGCAGTAACAATATCCAATAGGAAGACACCTGAGGAATATTAATAGAGAAGTGAGGCACTAACCCACTCAGCTGAGGGCCAACCATCCGGATGTAGGATAAGGAAGTTAGGAGCCCCATGCAGAGCTGTGAAGGTAGAGATGGGGTGGACGAGGGCTGCAGAAAAAGACCCAACACAGATTTGGTTTTGTTTCACCTATTGTCCACACAGGAGCGAGACCTGATGAAGACCTTCAAGATCCCAGTGGACACCTTCATCACTTACATCATGACACTGGAAGACCACTACCACGCTGACGTGGCCTACCACAACAGCCTACACGCTGCCGACGTCACGCAGTCCACACACGTGCTGCTTTCTACGCCCGCACTGGACGTGAGTGCATCTGGGACACTGCCCGCCTGTTCATTTACGGGGATCACAGTCCTGGCCCTGCCGGCGTTTATTCCAGCAGAGCTCCTTGCCTGATTGAACCTACGGGTTTTGAAGTTTGAGCTGCGAAGTTCCTGATGAAGTTCGTAAAAGGAAATCCCTCCGGAAAAAGCAGGCAGTCAGCTGTCCGTCATACAAACAGATTGAAAGTGCAATCCAAGCTGTGATAGTGAAACAAACAGTTCATAACATGCAGAAGTAAGAAAGTACTAAAGGGAATCTGGAAGCATTTCCAAGGTATAAAACCAGTAAAACAGACAACAGAGCGCAGGGATAAAGCCGAAACAAATGCTAAAACTAGGGGGAAGAACTTTCTAAGACAGAGCGGAGATAAGTGGGAAATCAGGTGTTAAATATCCTGTGGAAACAAGGTAAGCACTAATTTAACAGTGGACAGGTGAGACTGATTTCCTGCCACTTTGCATTGTCATAATTGATGGACTGGTTGAGCAGCAGAAACATTACCATGGTTGCCTAGAGATGACAGGATTGTTGTGTTTGGCAAAGCTAAGGTGATAGACTAGTCCCTGTTGCCTTGCTGCCTTTGCCAATATGTGTATAGTCATTCCCTTTCTCTCCCTCTGTGTGTCTTGGCAGGCCGTGTTCACAGATCTGGAGATATTGGCAGCACTGTTTGCGGCTGCCATTCACGATGTGGATCACCCTGGTGTCTCCAACCAGTTTCTAATCAACACTAGTAAGTCCACACCACACCCCCTCCCCCTGCAGGCCGACAGCTCGCTCCACTCTTCCTCCTCTGCTTCAGCCCTCCGCAGAGTCATGTCTCTTGTGACAGGAGTTAAGTTCCTTTCTAAACAAGGTTTAGGACAAATTGGTTTTGTTATTTTAGCAGTAAAAATTCAATTTATGCATGTCAACATTAAGCAATTTTGTTTGTAGCACAGGGTAAACCAGTCTCTCTTGCGAGATTTGTCTGAGCTTGACGCTTTTGCTAGTGGGAGTGGAATAGAAGCGGAAGCGCGGGTGGGAGTGGGTAATGTGGGGAGGGGATAGGAGGTGGATTAAAACACAAATCTCACGCAGGTCTTGAGTTGCAGTGAAGGTGTTCTGTTGAGTAAACCACAGCCCCATAACTAGAGAACAGCCTTGTACCTGGAACCTTTCGCTCAGTGAGAATGCTTCCCGGTGAACCCAGAAGCCTTGTTATGAAGAGCTGGGTCAGCAGATCCTAATGGTGGCCCGCTTTTTGCCCCCAGACTCGGAGCTGGCCCTGATGTACAACGACGAGTCGGTCTTGGAGAACCACCACCTGGCTGTGGGCTTCAAGCTGCTGCAGGAGGAGAACTGTGACATCTTCCAGAACCTGAGCAAGAGGCAGAGGCAGAGCCTGCGCAAGATGGTCATCGACATGGTCAGTACTCTGATCAGTACTTGGGAGGCCGCGGGGGGGGTTAGGGGAAGGGGTGACGGTATTTACTATTTACGGGACCTTCCACCGATCACATCCAGCCAGTAACATATTGAGCCTGAACCCATGGTCCAGTAACTGACTATAGAAGCAGAATTTCATTTTAAACTGAGAACAAGGGTGACTTCTTCACCCAAAGGGTCGTGGGAATTTGGAACAAGCTGTACAGCCATTCAGCTGAAAATGATACCCTGATTTTTTTCAAAAGACAGCTGGATAAGATCCTTGTGTCAATTAACAAAAACAGGCTGGATGAACCAAAAAGCCTTTTCTCACTTGTAGTCTCTCATAGTTTTTGTTCTTATTTTTTGGCCTGCTTGTCAGGGCAAGCATGAACACCTGTGCCCTTAATTTGCTGGAGAGCTCATAATCCATCAATGATAATACTGCAACTGAAAATGTAAAATAATATTAGCTCTAGTGATTCAGGAAGCTGTTTCTTTAGGTATATACCAGATAAATCCCCTTGTGTGCAGTGGGTGTTATAGTGGCCCTGTGCCCAAAAAGATCATGGAAATGCCATAGTCATGTTGTTTTCTGGTGATACCTTATGAAGGCTTTAGAAGTATAGTAGGGCACAGTGCAATCACAGTAAAAGCATGGAAAAGACCAGATGAACAATGGAGAATCTGTGCAAAAGTACTGTAGAAAAGAACCCTTTAGGAAGTTTTGTGTGACGCCTCTGTACTGTAGCCACTCAGAAGGGAGGAGAAAGCAACGCTGAATCTGATGTTCTGTCTCTCCCTCTCTCCCCTGTCTGTGGCAGGTCCTGGCCACAGACATGTCCAAACACATGAGCCTGCTGGCCGACCTCAAGACCATGGTGGAAACCAAGAAGGTGACGAGCTCGGGAGTGCTGCTGCTGGACCACTACACAGACCGGATACAGGTGGGGCTCTCTTGGAGGCTGAACAGCATTCCTGCCAGTGGCACAACCTACTTGGGCTATGTGGCCCATATTAGGGGAATGGGTTAACTGAGGGATCAAAGGTGCCTTCTTCCTCCAAAAAACTTCACTACTTAAACCTGTAATTTTGCACACTACATATGACCTTCTGGACCGTATGGATATTGTAAAGACTTAAAATTCACTCTTTTGTCTCTGTGCCTTTGACAAGGCTGACTCTGCCCAAAGCACATGCTTGGGAACTGAATACCTCTGAATGGCCTTGGCACTGTGTGCCAATGGAATGGGAGCTGCACAGAGGCTGAAGGTTAATGAAGAGCTAGTTGCTAAGGGAGATGGGGAGGGGGTGGCAAATGAGAGTGTAGTTGCTACGTGGTGCAGTTGCTTAGCAAAGTGGTTCTAGACAGAGCAGCTAAGGGCAGCGGTTGCTATAGAAACACCTGGCCTAGGAGCGCAGTGCCCGGTGAATCCAGTTCGTATTCTTTCTATTCATCATTCCATGTGGAAAGGCAGACTATGCATAACAGTGATATGGTTTAAAGGAAACAGGTAATGAAAACAGACCTTTCCTCAGAACAGGAGTGTCCTCTTCTGGACTCTAGGCTAACTCCTCAGTGATATACAAGTACAGTACAGTGCCCTTTTCCATTAAAACATGGTGGAATTGCTCACAGGATTTTCAAACCTATGATATGAATATCTTTTTTCTACACGTCACCATCAGACCAGATTTCTCACAATTGTACAATTACTTTATACAAAGATTGTTCATTTTCAAATGGCAGAGCTCTGTGTGTTCAGGTGGCCAAAGGAGGACTTCTGTATTCTACACGAGAAGGTTTAAGTAGTAGTCAGATATATTGTATAATCCAATCGGATTGTCCATATCCTATAATTGGAGAAGTCAAATCCCAAACCTTTTTAACGGAATGTACTACCCAGACCTGGGCTGATCACTTGATCCATTCAGAATGTTGGAATGCAGTTTTTTGCATATTTACTGTTTTCAAAGCTTCGGGAACATTTAGTGAGGACCACAACTTCTCTGGCTCTAGGGCTCAATTCAAAAGTTGGAGGAAAAAAAAGTTTTCTTCCATGTGGCTGACCACATCTCTCCTGCTTTATCACATCTTGTAAGATTACCTCACTCACTCATTACCTGGCCTGAATCTAAACAAGGCACTTGGCTTCCGTTGCATCTCTGCCCAGGTGCTGAGGAACATGGTGCACTGCGCGGACCTCAGCAACCCCACAAAGCCCCTCGAGCTGTACCGGCAGTGGACTGACCGAATTATGGAGGAGTTCTTCAGGCAGGGGGACAAGGAGAGGGAGAGGGGCATGGAGATCAGCCCCATGTGTGACAAACACACCGCCTCCGTGGAGAAGTCCCAGGTAAGCCCTGGAACAGCTTGACAGCCAGTCTATGAATTGGCTTCATTACTCTGCTCTCCTCCCCACTGATAGCTGGTGTGTGGTGAGCGTTCTGGCGCACTATGGCTGCCGTCGCATCATCCAGGTGGGGGTACACATTGGTGGTGGGTGGAGGGGAGTCCCCATTACCTGTAAAGCGCTTTGAATGGAGTGTCCAGAAAAGCGCTATATAAGTGTAAGCAGTTATTATTATTATTATTATTAATTAGTTACTCATTGTGAAGGGCTGACAATATTGTAATACTCAAGGCTGCTGCCCAAGCCCACAGAGGGCACAGGAAGTGCTGACATGTCACATCGCTGACTCTCCTTCCCGCGCAGGTGGGCTTCATCGACTACATCGTGCACCCGCTGTGGGAGACGTGGGCCGACCTGGTGCACCCCGATGCCCAGGAGATTCTGGACACCCTGGAGGACAACCGGGACTGGTACCAGAGCATGATCCCCCAGAGCCCCTCGCCGCCCCCCGACGACCCCGAGAAGGAGCCGGATGCCTGCCTGGACAAGTTCCAGTTCGAGCTGACGCTGGAGGAGGAGGGCGAGGACCCCGAGGGGCGGAACAGCCGGGGGGCTGCTGCGGAAGAGGAGGGGTCTCCCAGCCAGAACCACCTGGGGGAGAACTGTGTGGCCGGGAGCCCCGAGGGCGAGGACGAGGACCCTGGACAGCCCGGGGAGCCGGGGGTGGTGGTGGTGGTGGTAGGGGAGAACGGACACTCAGAGGGGAGCCCGGAGGAGGAGGAGGAGGAGGAGGACGATGAGGTGGGGGAGGAAGAGGAGCTGCCGTCCTCGCCTGCTGAGACATGAGACACAGACCTCTGATCACTTCCTGTCCCTCAACGCCTTCCTTTAGCTCCCCAACACTTCCCTCTCCCCCCGGGGGCGCTCAGCAGACAGAGCTGCTGGAGGCCTGGGCGGTTTGTTGGCCGGTCGGAAGAAACCGAAATGAAAGAAGGACTCCGCTCCTGGTCCCGTTTCCTGCTGCCCCTTGTCCCAGAGCCCCAACCACGCCTCCCCCGCACCCACCTCCAGGGACCTTTGGAGAATAAAACAATACAGCGAACAAATAAGAGACCTGAGAAAAAAAAAGAGACGTTTCTAATTTATTTTTTAAAAAAGGGAACAAAAAATATTTACACAGCAACTGTAGATTTCGAATGTTTGGTGGCGCCGCCCCTGTGGTGGGATCGAGGACCTGCAGAGAAGAAGAATTAGAAGAACCTTATTTTATGGGCCATTTTGAGACATTGTAGCACTCTGGACATTTTACATATATATTAATATATATACCTATATATATTTATATATATACATTTGGGGAATGGGAATGGAGCTAAGTAAGGACTGAAAAAAAGGAGATTATTTATGCTTTCTTGGGGATAAAGCCATTTCTAACTCGAAAGGATTTCCTTTTCATTTTATTTTTCTGGTTCGTTGGGAACTCCAAACAAGAGCGCAAGCCGCCCGAACCCTGTTCGCGAAAGCCTCTTCCATTTCTGTCGGAAAAGACGCCCCTCGGCCCCCGTCCGTCTGTCCGTCCTGGTGGATGGGCGGCGAGGGGGCGGGGCTCAGCTGGCGTGGAGTTTTGCGGACCTGCGGATTGTTCTGAAGGACCTAGCCGGGAAAGAGTGCGTACGTACGTCACGGGGACGTGCGTCCCGAGTCGGAGGGCCCCTCCCTTTGCCCTTTTACCCTTTACGTAGAGTGCTACTTCGCTGAATGGCCGCGTGCCTTTTTAAACCTACAGGCCCCGCGGGCTTGTAGCAACGGTCAAGCAATGAATCATAGGCGGGATTTGATTTTCCTGTTGTTGTTTTTTTTTTTTATTTTCAGTGTCGCCTTCTTATTTAAAACAAAAGCTGTCAGTCTTTATCAATTCCCGAAGGAGTTTCTCTCTCCTAGGAATCTTTTGACGAAAAAAAGTTTGCCACATTTTACAGACGCCGTAGGAGACAGTGTGCAAAAACTGACCGTCTTCTTTCTATCTCTAGAAGATTCAACAGTAAGTCTTCCTCTGTTGGTTTTAGCCGAGTTTCTACTTTATTTGTGTTCGGTTTTGCACAAAATGGCAATACTACGAAGAAAGTCGAAGTGCGCATGAGATGCAGTCCTGTATTGTTTTTTTAATTCTTAAAAAAGACCGAGACTCAATATAATGTTATTTACATATATAAACTAGGGTTCTTCACCACTTTACACTGTAAAGGAATGGTTCGTTTTAAAAAATAAATTCGGACTCCTTAGTGCTTATCGGCTGCTACAACAGACTTCAGTGTGTGACTTTGCCAAATGAATGACAAACGTTCAGCGAACGCGAAAGGAATTCATGTGTACAGTATCCACAAGCCATCCGAGAACCCTAGTTTGTGTATGTCATATAACAAGCATTAGCAATTATGGATTCTTGCCAAATTCTGTAATATCATGTCTGTCCGCTCCGTGCGCTTGAGATGGTAAAGGGCGAGTCAAGCAGGAAAGCGCCCTCAGGTGGACCTTTCATTGGTAATGAGAGACTGAGGAGGACCAGCCTGCTTTGTCCATGAAACGGCAGGTGTGGGTGGTACTTAATCCTGCCATTCAAGAACACAGATGTGACTCCTGCTTTTTTCAGTACCGGCAAGACGCTGTATTCCTGCTGCTTCTTGCTGGTATGTAGCCTTGTTTTTTAAAAGCAAATCACGTGAAGATCAGTACATTTCATGCTCAAGGAGACTGATTATACAATCTCAGCCATAGGAAGGTATTGAATAAGCCCAGGAAGGGGAGGAGGTGAAGGCAAAGTCCTGTATAACGAGGATGGTTTCATAGAGCGAACAGACATGCCATTACAAGGTCTCGGAGGGTTTCGGTTTTATTTCTTTTGCCTTAACGTTTGTTCAGACGGGTGGTAGATTGGGGTGCTGGGTGGAGGGGTGTCCTATTCGCCACTGTGTCACTATGTCAGAATGCCAGTTGAGGCTGTGTAGGAGGGGGGATAAACAGATCAGTGGGGCTCCATGAAGCACAGAGAACAGTGGAGCGATCCTGCAGATAGAGTGTCACCAGCGTTCCTGAGCACAGCACCCTGGGTCCACAGTCCTCTTGTCCGACGATATTGTGTAACGAGATGGGCAAGGGGGGCATGAGAAGGAATAACATGCCTTGGCACATGTGGAAAATTTCTACAACATTTTTCAATTTGAAGCATCCCTAAAAGATTCCCATGAATCTTACTGCATTCTTGGTGGAGGTCTGCTGAGTCTGCAAGTCTTGCTCACGAGCTAAAGGATTCCTTCCTTCTCGGCTACAGCCGAGCTGCTGAGAAAGACGTAGACAGATTTTGTGGCAAATGGGGTTTGGTCCTCCCACCTCTTCCCCCAACACACGCAGTGTTCAGCTTGGACTCTCGGTGAAAAGAGCTGATGCCAGCATTCAGAGCCAAACAAAAGCAGCTGCAGAACCGGTCCTGCCTGACTCTGAGCCTCATACTTCAGGAGCAGCTGCACTTCAGCTTCTCCGCCTTGGCACTCGCGGTCTTCAAGCCTCTCAAATTGTGTTTGATTGGAAATTGTTTTCTAGTCCACACCTATTTTTCGGCTGTACTAGATTTACACATTCCATCACTTTGACCGTCAAAAAAATAATAATCAGATTTTACCCTCCTTCACAGTATCTTGTAGATTTTAAAACGGGGGTTTCAAGCCCTGGTCCTGTTAGACTAACAGGTCACCTGTTAACAAAGATTGGCAATACCTGTAAGCTTCTGTTGAATCAAGCAGGTGATCTGATACGTTATGTAAGCTCTGGTACTTGAGCGCTAAAGAGATTTTGAAGTGATTGAAGAAATTGCCTCCAAATTGCTTAATTTAACAAATCACACGATGAATTAAAACAAAAGAATTGTTCTATACAAATTTGTTCAAATTTGCTGGACTGGGGCTCTCCAGGACCAGGGCTGCAGATTGTCATTGCCAGACAGGACAGCTGTTGGATTTTCCTCTTCTAGGTAGGGCTGTGACTGTACCTTGAGGTGCAGAAGGCCAGGCTAACACAGGGCCTTTAGTATATGCTGTTTGCTATGAAGTATTCCCCATGGCTCAGACTCTTCTTTTCCTGGAGGTCCAGGGATGTGCTTTGGTTTCAGTCATGGACAAACTGTATTTGCCTTAATGTTTCCAGGGAATGGTTGTCTGCTTTTTTTCATTTGTTTTTCTGCCTGAATGGTGCAGGGTGAGCTGTTGGCCGAGAATGTTTTGGAAGTTCACTTCACAAAACCGCATTGTTTTAATGCAGTTTTATCCTGCTCCGCCCTTGTGTGCTGAACGGTGCATTTCAGGCGGTCACTGCGGGGGTGGGTGTAAGACGCAAGCGGTACAGGCTGTCGCTCATGGCTGACACTGACACAGACCTCCACATTGTGCGCTCAGAGTTGTGGACAGTGTCTGTGGTGTTTCTTTGTTGCCTTTTGTTGCTGTTGCTTTATTGTGAGCACTCTTGCAGTGTTTTTAAGTTTCTGGTGTGCGCATGTCTCAAAACCTCACTCCCTAGTTTGATGGGAACACCACAACCACACAGCTTCACTGGTTACAAAGCCACCAAAGCACATATTTCCCATTTAGCAATTTATACTATATAAAGAGTGCAAAACGTCACAAGTTTAGATGGAGGGTTCTGGTGTGATGTGGTCCTGGAGTTTTCTAATAAGGTCTGAAGTTGGCGAAGGTTGGGGAGAGGGGGAACCACCTACTCTTCTCTTTCACAATTTGGAGAGACACCAGGATGATTCCCTGGATTGCTGGCCATCTCCGTGACAACACAGATTAGCTCCATGCAATACTTTGTGAATGCTGAAGGCTGTGGTTTGAAGAAAATGAATGGGCCTTGTGCTGCCCTGCCATACTAAATTGAGCAGTCTTGGCTTAGAGATTGTCTATATCTGATACAAACACGGTGGCATTGAGAGCTCAGCCTGCTGCAGCAGTTGTACGGGGCCTGGAGAGTATGCAGAACCTTCTGCACAAGGCTGGTGTTCATCTGTTCTGAATACAGCAGTACAGCTGGCACAGTTTTTCATCCCAAGGGTATGTTGGCATTCTTTTTTAGCCTAGACTGCCTGTGCCACACTCTGCAGTTTCACTTAGTACCGTCGTATATTGGAGAAGATTTTGAGATTTGCGTTCACTTTTCTGTTTCCTGGTGGTGTTCCTTATTTTATTTTGTTTTATGTGGTGAGTTAATGAAAACAAATACAAATTGCCATTTTAACACAATACTGTAGCAATTGTTTCTTATGAAATTATTTAATTGCTGCCATCCTTTTTCTCAATGATAAAGAATATGCCTCCAGTGTTTTCTCTGAATGGTTCGTGTACAGTTTTTATTTTTGTATGATTCTGTTTGATGGGTTTGAATTTATTATTGTTTGTTCTGTACATATTGTAATGTTGGATTGTAAAATATGGATTATATAAACAAGAAGAGCGTCACATTCTTTTTTTGGGGGGTGTCGGTGCGATCAAATTAATGTTTATGGTCAGATTTTTTAAATCTCTGCAATCGTTCTTGGTTCTACCCTCCCCCCGTCTCGCTCTTTACCTCTGCTTCCTCTCGCTCTCCTCCCCAGTCTCTCGCTATGTAAATTTACATTATATGCGAAGAAATAGATTTGACACTGTAGAATTAAGAATAAGAAATATCAAGTTGTGTGTCCTCCTTGCACTCTTCTCATAGTTCATGTCCTCGGGCTTTTACCTCATTGTGTCACACCAAACCAGTGGGACAGCTGTATTCATCAGTTTGTGGTCTGTGGTGAGAGAGGACAGTGCTAAAAGCCACTCCAGGGAGTGATGCCCCATCAAGAGCCTTGCTTTCAAAGTAGGCAGATTTTGGTGTTATTGATGCAGATGTTTTTGGGAGAAAGTAAGTGCTGGCACAGTTTGAGCTACATATATATTTAATCCTTAAAAGTCACGAGGAGTGTTTAACCAAAGACTGATTTGATTACTGTGGTAACAGTTACAGGTTCCTAACATTTTCGAAAGTGTGTATATGCACGCATGTGTGTATAAGTAGAAGTGTTTTAGTTAAGGCCCAGATCTTGAAAATCTTCAGTCATGGTTAGGGCCCTTAGGGTCTGAGCATGTGGAGAATTCTACCGAAGGCAGGCAGCCTGAGTCTTGAGAAGATGGAGCTCTCCGTCCTCAAAGGCAAACCGAGAGATTGGTGATGTGTTTAAACTGACAAATGTTTTCGGAGTTTTAAACACTGCCTGCATCACATCATGAGCTCAACAAATAAATCAAAAGCTGAATCTTATGATGAATATTAAATTCCAAGAGGGATTTGGATGGTTCAAATTTGTTTCCAAACTGGGTGAAGTCATAGATCGCTCCTAGAGACCCCGACGCCCCTTGTTGAAGCTGTTATGCACAGTTTAGTAAAGTGATCTGGCATCTTTAGTTGCAGGATATTGATGTCATGGCTTCTTTTAAAGCAAAAATGCGAGAGCCCTGCACTTTTACTGAAAAGGTAAGGATCACAGACCTGAGTGTCCTTCCTGGTTTGGTTTTGAAGAATCCCTTCAGAGCCTTAAGCCCGTTTGCTGCACAGTGCTGTGTTGCCCATGGTTTGTGTGTCTTGTGAAGGGTTGGGTTTCCTCCAAGGGGAAAAAAGACATGCACTTTATATATTAAACAACCATAGCTCTTTTGAAGACATTTTTGTAAAATTTAAGAAATATCCAAAGTGAGAAATTAGCAGAGACTGAGGGCAGCTAAGAAATTAGAATAGGTTTCTTCTAATTGACATTTAAGAGTTACCCCAAATGTAGGACTTGGAGATTATCCCAAAAGCTTTGAATGAAGAACTATCCGTGGAATAAATCATAGAACTCAGGTGGATTTGTTCTGTGTATGGCTGAGTAAAGTATTGATCAGTATTAGCTGAAATTGCACAAAATCTGCATTAATGTTAGTGAATCAAGACTCTTGATGATATCTGCCCTAGTTCAGATTGGATTAAATTCCAACAAATTTAGAATTTAATCCAGTCTGAACTAGGTTGGGCTTTTCTGCTGCATGTTTCATAACAAATGGGATTAAGGCTGAAGGTCTGCTTTCTCACTTTAAGTTTGAGATCATCTTCTTTCCTCTGTTTCTTCTTAGAACAATGGTCTGTTTGTGATCTGTGAGCTTTTGCTCAAATGTACCTTGTTTGGAGTGAAAAAAATACACCATTAAAAATGATTGTAATATTTGTAAATTATATTACTGTAATGTGTACAATGTGTCCAAAAAAAGGGGGACTTCTAAAGTCTAGGTTATTTTTTATTATATTTTATTATAAGATTTGTTTTTTGTTTCTTTTCAGAGAGATTAATCCAAGTGCTGGGGTTTCATTTCTGTGAAATTAAAAGGCATCTTATAAGTTAATGACAATATATAAATATATATGTATATTTTTTCTTTGATTTCACTGTATGGTACTGTAAAGTGTGTTCAAAATAACGGATGATTTTTTAAAATATAAACTGCAAAATAAAAAGCATGAATACATTTTATGCAACAACCCTGGTGTCCGTGACGAGTGGTTTTTGTGCAAGACTGGACTCCTGGTGGGAACCTGAGCACAGTTTTCAGGCTTGAAGCAAAACCTCTTTATCCAGCCTACAGTGAAACTGCTTGCAGCCACTGGGGGGCAACAAAGAGATATTTTCCATAAAGCAGTGGAATTTGGTTGCATTCAGGGATAACTTTGCTATTGAAGTCCCAGCTACATTTGCATGGTTACTCTGATATCCTTACATCTGCTTTGCTCTACAGGTGAAGCCCTTGCATTATGTCTTCTTCTCGGCCGAGGGTTGGCGTATTTTTCTTTTTCTAGGC